CCAAACTGGCTCTCAAGAACTAATTAACCCCCAAAACTGTTTTCCTTAACAGGGGACAATCCAGCAACCCTGGACTGCTATTTAAAAGGATGCTTAAACAACCTGATTTTTTACAAGCACGCAGTTGTTATCAGTTATCTAAGGCACATGCTGCCACATCTGGGCTCATGTCTTTTCCGTGGCTGCCCCATGTCTCTATAGCACTCCCCTCCCACACAGAAGAGGTTGGGGCGCTTGCCCTCTTGGCTTTCTGGAAAGTATGCAAAACAAAACTGTTCTAGAGGGCTTTGGGGGCAGTCGGAGCCTGGACAAAGGTGGAAATACCCTACCAATCAGGGTATAACTTGTTTTTAGTTGTCATGTTGGTTTTATAAAATTGCTTTGAATGAGTTGGACCCAGTCTAAAACTCCTGCTTCAGCTCTTGCTCAAGCGGAAACACAAGGGAGAGGGGGAAAGCGGTAGCTGCTTGCTAAACTAACTAACTCTCATTATGTCCCCACTTGCATTTCTGCTTGTGCAAGATCTGGTGCAATCGGTTTCTGGGCACTATAGTTCAGAGGTGGAAAGCACCAGGTGCGGCGCAAGATCTTGTGCAAACGGAATTGCACTAAGCCTGCTTATGTTTCCACTTGCGCATTGCTGGATGCTACTTTTACTGTTTGCTACTTTTACTGTTACTCGCCTTGGGTCCCAGAACACCGCACTGCAAATATTTTAAATCAGTCAGCGGTTCACGCTGCTTTTTCCTTTCCATGCGTACTGGATTTACTGGAATACTGAACAAAGTCCCCTAAATCCAGTTGGGTTTACTCCTAAGTAAGTGCATCTAGGACTGCAAAGCAATAGTATCTCGCACTCACTGGAAATCTCTCGGTTCTCCTTCAGGTTAGCGATGGCAAAGATTCAGCAAACGGCACTTGTAAGCAACGGTCATTCCTGACTCCTCAAGTATTGTGTTCTTGAGTCTTCCCAGTTCCTCTCCTGGCTACATTCTGCTCTGCTTTTCTGTCCTCCCTCCTTGCCATTTTCTTCTGTAGGTTTACTTCTTTATATCACTCAACTTTCCTTTCTTTCCCACGCACCCTTGCTCCCGCCAAGAAATTTTCTGCTGACTAGACAGGTTCCTTTCTGCACTCCAGCCAGGTAACCCATAGTTTCAATTTTCCGGGAAAGATGACCGCTGCTCTGGTCTTACTGCAAGATGATCATCATGTTTTGAAATGGACATTTCCCAGAAGGCTGTATTCGTATATGTGTTTTATGTGACGTCTGGCTTTACTAGAAGATTGTTTGGGGCAATGCTCTATTCTTGATTCATGGTCAGCTGCTGTATAAACTGCACCTCACTGTTCCTGATGAAAGAGAACCTTAGAGCGTTTTTTTGTTTCTTCCTGTGTAGGAGGCTAGCAAGGAGAAGAAGGGAGAAGACCCTGCCACACACAAATTTCCATCTTCTGCCAAAAACCAGAAGAAACCCAGTGCTATCAGAATTTATTTACCACCTATGTCATTTTAAAAAAATTAAATCTGAGTTTTGGTTCTTTACACCCCTTCTTTTTAGATGTTCAGAAGTGTACCTGTTGAGATTCTGCATTTTGCAACTGTCTTGAAAAATTAAACTTTTTAAGCTCGTTGGTAAATTCAAAGCAGCAGATAGACGCTTACTAAAAATAAATCTTTAGTCATTAAATATTACAAAATTCTGACATCCTCACACAGCTCTAGTATGACTTCAGAGTGTGTTTAGTATAGCAGTTCATTTGGCACTGGTTTGAGTTTGCTTGGCCTCTTCATCCTTTATTTCCCAAATACTTGTGCGGTATCCCACAATGTTTCTGGATGCATTTATTATCATACTGGATGGCTCCCAGCACTATCAAAGCATTTTTTAAATCAAATTGCAAATCGGTTTGTGTGTGTGCGCATATAAAAATCCCCACGCATTTGATTTTTTGCCTGGAAGAATGCCTCCTTAATACAGACCAAGAACACGCATTCACCTTTCAGGAACTGCTGTATCCTTCCTTATACTACAGACATATTTTACACATAATTTCCCCCTTGTTTTCTTCCACAAGCTAACTTTAATCTCAAGCATTGTTTTCTTCTGGGATTCTGGGTTTAGATACCCCACTAAACCCTACAGTTCTCATTACTATTTGAAATGTTGAAGGGGGGGGGGGGGGGAATGGAGGGAGAAACCAGCACCAGATTTTAATCCGATTCAGACACCTTTAATGGCATAATGATATAGAAATGATACATTTAGTTCCAGCAAATAAATTTAGACAATAAAAGTGTATATATTATGTAAAATAACACATAATGTGCTTCGGCAGCACATATACTAAAATTTTAATCACACCTGATTTTTTTTGCCACCTAGCCACTTATTACGACAAATTTTAAAAAAATGGTTCACGCACAGTTTTCCTTTGTGAATTCCAAAAAGAATAAAAAGTATCGCCGTTCATGGAGAAGGAATGGGAAGACACCGCTTTAATTGAAAACGGCTATGGATGCCGGGACTGAGCAAAACTAAAGTTTCAGCATTTTTGGTCTCTCACAAATGCATCCTCTGCTGTGCATAATCCCCACGTGGAACGTTATGGCCATTTTATTTTAAAAAAATACAGCTATACACATCTGATGAAGTGAGGGGTGACTCACAAAAGCTCATATTGAAATAAATGCTTTTAGTCATTAAGGTGCCACCGGACTTTCGCTTTACTTCCGTATGGGCAAAAGGCCCAGTTTTATAATTCTAGCTTTTCCACCAAGCTCAGGACAAGATTACCAGCCCTTACCTAATACCAGCCCTTACCTAATATTGCATTGCCTCTCTGTTATTTTAGAATAGTAAAAAACCCCAGTAGCACCTTTAAGACTAACAAACTTTATTCTAGCATAAACCATTGAGAAGCACAGCTCTCTTCGTCTGCTGTTATGCTACAATTCCTGACTTCAAGGTGCTACTGGGCTTTTTACTATTTTGCAGCAACAGACTAACACAGCTACTCCTCTAGATCTCTTATTTTAAATAATCCTTCACACGAGGATACCCTTTTCTCTTTTCCACACCAGCTACAGGACAGGTTCCCGAGAAAATATTTAGATAACAAACGCCAAACCTGCATACAGATTCTGCTCAGTTCTACCCACCATTCATACCCCGTCATTTTCTTGTGCATGAGAACTTCTGCAGTCATTTGCTCACTCCTCTTGTGGGGTAAAGAGGGCTATGGCCGCTATTAGTCTTATCTCCTTGTGAAGGTACGGCATGACATTGCCACAGAAGCCACCCCAGGTGACAGGAAATAATCTGTTCCAAGTCACTGGATTTCTAGTTTTTGCTCTGCAACACTCAGTCAAGTCTTCTTTCTTTATAAGATGCTGGAGAATAGATTTATTTAGTGAGAACTGGTATAGGGCAGTGAATGAAAAAAAACATAAAGCTTAAGAAGTCAGTCATGAAGCTCTGACTTCAGATCTTAACACAGTCGCCCTAAGGGGATGGAGCTTTGGCTTACAGGAACATAACAACGTTTGCCAGTTGATGCACTACAAGGTGTGCTGGGCTCTTTCTAAATATCATACATGTAGCACATGGAGAACTTTAATTCATTCAAAAATGACCCCATGGGGGTTCAGCACAAGTCAGCAAAAAGAAAGCCTGGGTATGACATTCCCACTCTGCCACAAACACAGCAAGGGCCTGTTTTATCTTCCCATCTGGTCTCCTATGAAATCAAAACAACACAGAAATAACCACCCAGGATGGTCAACTATACATCTGAGACCAGATGCCTTCAGAAAGAGGTGCCTATAACAAGGAATGCAGCCCAAAAACCACACACAGGTGCCATCAGTTGCCCTGTGCATAGTTTGGAGGTAATTCCAGATGGGCTGGAGCGACATTGCATCCTAGCAGGGACAGGAATCCATCCTAGCAGGGACAGGAATCCAGGGTGGCACGTTAAAAACCAACAAAACGTCTTCCGAAAGAAGCTTTCGTGAGCCCGAGTTCATCATCAGATGTACAGAGCACTTTGGACAAAAGAAGCACTAACTCACCAAAGCTTATGCCAAAGATGCCTCTGGACTATTGTTTAATTTTAGAACCGGCAGCAGTTCGCCACCCTGACCCGGATAGCCTGACCTCCTCAGATCTTGGAAGCTAAGGTCAGACCTGGTCAGTACTTAGATGGGAGACAACCAAGGAAGGCCAGAGCGGCTACCCAGAGAGGCAGGCCACGGGAAACCACCTCTGAGCATCTCTTGCCTTGAAAACCCCAAGGGGGTCACCACTGCAGTGTTCCCTCTAAGCTGAGTTAGTGAGAGCTGGCTCACAGTTTTGTAGCCTCCGGCTCACACGTTTTTGTCTTCGCTCAGGAAGGGATGGCTCCAGAGCAAACTAATTCATGCAGCAGCCAAATAACTTGCTCACAATTCTAATGCCAGTAGCTCACAAAGTGGAATTTTTGCTCACAGGACTCCACAGCTTAGAGGGAACATTGGTCACCAGAAGTTGGCTGGGACTTGGGGGGGGGGGGAGAGAATCAGTTCACTCGCTGTTCTGTATTGAAGCACTCACCACGGAGAGGAGTGGGGTTTGTCTTTCTTTTCTTCCTTTATGGGAAAGGCAAGACTATCATGTCCTGCCAACCTAGCAGTTGGAAAGCAAGAAACTGCAAGTAGAGAAATAGGGACCGTTTCGGTGGGAAGGGAACAGCGTTCCGTGCGCCTTGGTGTTTAGCCATGCGGGCCACATGACCACGGAAACGTCTTCGGACAGCGCTGGCTCTTCGGCTTGGAAACGGAGATGAGCACGGCAACCCTAGAGTCGGACTCGACTGGCTTTCGAGCAAGGGAAACCTTGACCTTGACCTTTTTAAGACTACCATGAGGACTAGAAACTCACTCCCTTAAAACAAAACGCGAAAAGAGACCTCCTTCTGCATCTCCCGGAGCCCCGACGTTCTGCCCGCGGTCGCCTTACCTTGGTGTACTGGACCTCCAGGTTCTTGATGGGCCGGGGCAGCTGCGGGGGCCCCTTCCTCTCCGGCTGCCCGTTCTCCACCGCCCCGTTGAGCGCGGCCATGCCCGAGGCTCTCGCTCGCCCGCCAGCCAAGCCCGCTCGCCCCGCTGACAGCCACGTTGCCTTTATGCCCGGCGGCCGCCCCTGCGCGACCCCGCGCCGGCCCTCCCATTGGCTCCCCGGCCGGCCGGGCCGCTCCCCCCGGCAGGGTAGGGGGGGGAGGCCGGCTGGCCGGTGGCTGAGTGGGAGCGGCGCAGGCTGCGCCTCCCCGAGGAGGCAGCGGCGGCAGCAGCTGGCCCGGGCGGGGTCTCGGCCGGGATTGCCGGAGCCCCCTTTGCAGACAATGCCGGGGATTGTTGGGGAGGGGAGCGAAGCAGAGCCGGCTCCCTCCCTCCCTCCCTCCCGTGCTTCCGTCTCTCCCAGAGACCTGGTGGCTTTCGGGCAGGCGCAGTGTCCCCTCTAAGCTGAGCGAGTGTGAGCCAGCTCGCAGTTTTTGAGCCTCCAGCTCACAGATTCTTGTCTCAGCTCAGGAAGGAGGGCTCCAGAGCAGACTAATTTATACGGTAGCCAAACTGCTCGCTCACAACTTTAATGCCCGTAGTTTCTAAAGTAGATTTTTTTTGCTCGCAAGATTCCACAACTTAGAGGGAACAGAGAGCCGAGCTAAATGCGAGCAGGAAAGGGCAAAGGTAGAGAGGCGCTCAGACAGACACAGACACACACACGACACAGTCTACAATGTTCCCTCTAAGCTGTGGGGCAGTGTTCCCTCTAAGCTGAGTTAGTGTGAGCTAGCTCACAGTTTTTTAGCCTCTGGCTCACACATTTTTGTCTTAGCTCAGGAAGGAGGGCTCCAGAGCAAATTAATTAATGCAGTAGCTGAATCGCTCGCTCACAACTTTAATGCCAGTAGCTCAGAAAGTAGAAATTTTGCTCACAAGACTCCACAGCTTAGAGGGAACATTGCTGTGGGGTCTTGTGAGCAAAAAATTCTATTTTGTGAGCTCCTGGCATTAAGCTTGTGAGCGAGCGATTTGGCTCCTGCATAAATTAGTTGGCTCCGGAGTCATCCCTTCCTGAGCGAAGACAAAAATGTGTGAGCCAGAGGCTAAAAGAATGTGAGGTAGCTCACACTGACTCAGCTTAGAGGGAACACTGACGACAGAGAGAGAGAGAGAGACTTTACGCACACACACCCCCTCTCATAGGTCTGAGTGCCTCTCTACATTTGCCCTGTTTGTCTAGATATTGTGTGCAGTGTTCCCTCTAAGATGAGTTAGTGTGAGCTAGCTCGCAGTTTTTTAGCTTCTGGCTCACACATTTCTGTCTCGGCTCAGGAAGGAGGGCTCCAGAGCAAACTAGTCTATGCAGGAGCCAAATCGCTCGCTCACAAGCTTAATGCCAGGAGCTCACAAAGTAGGATTTTTGCTCACAAGACTCTCCAACTTAGAGGGAGCATTGGTTGTGTGTGCGCCTGTATCTCGCACATCCACCTTAGATCTTGGGTGTGTTTATAGAGAAGATAGAAGCATATAGATGGCAATTCTATATAATGAAACACCCATAACCAGGCATATGGCAGATCCAAGCATCCACCCTCACCTGGGTGGCCCAGGCTAGCCCCCATCTCCTCATGTCTCAAAAGTTAAACAGGGTCTGCTGCCCTGCGTAGTCCTTGGATGGGAGACCACCAAGAAAGTCCAGGGTTGCCATCAGTGTTCCCTCTAAGCTGAGTTAGTGTGAGCTAGCTCTCAGTTTCTTTAGCCTCCAGCTCACATATTTTTGTCCTAGCTCGGGAAGGAGGGCTCCAGAGCCAACTAATTTATGCAGCGGCCCAATCGCTCACTCACAACTTTAATGCCAGGAGCTCACAAAGTAGGATTTTTGCTCACAAGACTCCACAGCTTAGAGTGCCTCATCTGTTGGGGCTCTGGTTAGAGACTCTGTATATTTCATTTGATGTACTTTAATCGGTTTTAACTGTTTTTGTATACGATGTCTGATGGAACCCGTCCTGAGCCTGCTATGTGGGGAAGGCGGGGTACAGATCTAATAAATAAATAGTCTCTTGCCTTGAAAGCCCTACAGGGTCGTCATAAGTTGACTGTAACTTGGTGGCGCTTTCCATTGGATCACACACACACGCACGCATGCACACACCTCCCTACTGCCTTTAACTTTTCCTAGCATTATTGTCTTTCCTGATGAGTCTTGTCTTTTCATGATGTGACCAAAGTACAATAGCCTCAGTTTAGTCATTTTAGCTTGTAGGGAGAGTTCAGACTTGATCTGATCTAGAACCCCCTTGTTTGTCTTGTGGGTGGTCCACACGGTGTCCATAACACTCTCCTCCAGGACCACATTTCAAAGGCATCCCACTTTCTTTCTGTCAGCTTTCTTCACAGTCTGACTTTCACACCTGTAGTGGGGAACACCATAGTATGAATTATCTTGATCTTGGTCACCAGCGACACACCCTTACCCTTTAGGATCTTTTCTGTCTCCTTTGTGACTGCCCAGGGCTCTTTTTGTAGAAAAAGCCCAGCAGGAACTCATTAGCATATTGGGCCACACCCACATGTTACCAGAAGTGTGGTTATCCAGCCACACCCACCTTTTGCTTCTTCTGTTTACCTTGTTTGTTGTCCAGGGCTCTTTTTTTGTAGCAGGAACTCCTTTGCATGTTAGGCCACACACCCCTAATGTAGCCAATCCTAGTGAGTTCCTGCTGTTGGGTGTGGCCATAATGCTAATGAGTTCCCGCTGGGCGTTGCCAACTTGGGAGCCAGCCGGAACGCCGTTCCTGTGCGTTCCTGCCCAAAAATAGCCCTGTGACTGCCCTTCCCGGCCTCCGTCTCCCTCTGATTTCTTGGTCGCATTCTCCCTTTTGGCTGATGATGGAGCCAGGAAACAGAAAATCTTGAAGAATTTCAATATATCTGTATATATATAGTGGAGAAGTATTGGAGAATGGTAGAAAAGTGGAGAAGTATTGGAGAATGGTAGAAAAGCTTATTCAGGACATTATGAAGCTAAAAATGACTCTAACCCCGGAAATAGCACTACTAAATATGGTACCGGAAGAGTATCCACAAAATGACAAAAAAGCTATTAACATTTATAGTGACTATTGCTAGAATATTGATGGCTAAATACTGGAAGAGTGAGATTTTGCCAACAAACGAAGAAATTATATCGAAACTGATGGAGTTAGCAGAAATGGACAAACTAACGATAAGTCTTCAAGGGAAAGATGGAGGTGTATTTAAAAAAAAGATGGGAAAGAATGTATATTTGGATCCAGGTAACATGGGGAGATATGGATTGAAATATATATTTGAAGAAATATATGTAAATATAATAAGACTCAAGCTTTGTAAGTAAGAATGGATATATGTAATTTGGAAAATGATAAATAAATGTATAAATATATATATATATCTGTATACTCATGCATATATAAACAACCTCAAGCACATATATGGCAGCTGAGCTTTATATACCATGTGCATATGTGTGTGTGCGTATGAGCAGCAGACATCTTTTTGGGAGGGCAGTATTTGAATGTTGTTGTCTTGTTTTGGCTTTAACTTCTAATGTTTTGATGATTACTGTAAGCCCCCTTGAGTCAAGAAGATGAGGTATAAACATTTTAGTAAAATAGACAACAAATTATATGTGTGCAGCTGTGTGTAAAAAGCAGCCTTATATCATCCACGTGTGTGTGTGTTTTATATCTTATATCTTTATATCTTATACCCTGCCTCCCTCTCCAGTGGGGACACAAAGTGGCTTGCCGCAGTCTCTGCACCTCCATTTTATTCTCACAACAACCCTGTGGGGTAGGCTAAGCTGGGAGCGGGTGACTGGCCCATGGTCACCCAGAGAGCTTCCATGGCAGAGGAGGGATTTGAACCTGGGTGTCCCAGATCCTAGTCTGACACTGCACCACGTATCTTGATGTTTACACTACATATGTATCTTCTATATAGGCGTACATGCAGCAGTGATGAGACGCAGACATATAATTGCCTTAAAAATGAGCTCGCACGTCAAACCCCCCCCCCTGTACAAACCTCGGAGGAGATCACCTGCATTGTAGCATGTGTGTTTGTGTGTGTGTGTGTGTTTCCCCCTCGACACGCAAGGGGATGATCTCATATCAGATTAACCCCTCCTAATCAAAACCGTGTGCACCCCCCGGCCCTGTCCCAGGCTGCATCCTCTGTCCCACCCCCACACGGCATCGATCAGTGCGGAGACATTCTCTCTGCTCCTTTTGGCTTCCTCCTCGTTCTCGCTGGCCTCTTGCCCACCAGCTGGGATGCTTCTCCCGCCTCCGAAGGGACCTTCTGTGTGCCTCAGAATCCCAGCCGGAGCCTTCCGCCACTGTCTGCAGTGCCGTTGGAATGAAGAGCCTGGATTTGGTTTCGGCCTTCCAGATCCCAGAGGAGCCAGAGGCAAGACTTCGTCTCTACTGGCCAGGGTAATAGACCCAGGAGCTCCACTATGCCTGAAAACAGCCATTGATTTGGAAGCGGTTCCTCTCACTCGCTGCTGAGGACAATCTGGATTGGGGTTTCCGGAACTTCTGAGAGGTGGCACGCACCTGTTCCCCCCAGTGAATTAAAGAGAGGGGCAAACTTCAACCAAAGGTTGGCTTTGAGAGAGCCAGTTTGGTGTAGTAGTTTAGGAGCGTGGACTCCAGCCTGGGAGAACCGGGTTTGATTTCCCCACTCTCCACATCCAGCTGCTGGTATGACCTTGGGTCAGTCCCAGTTCTCCCAGAGCTGTTCTGGAAAGAGCAGTTCTCTCACAGATCTCTCAGCCTCATCTACCTCACAGGATGTCTGTTGTGGGGAGGGGGAGGGAAAGGGGAGTGTAAGCAACCCCAGTCTCCTCCTCCTCCTAAGCGTGATGTGTGCCCTTGAAGCAGTCCGTCTGCTGCGTGAGTCAGTGATCGGAGGTGAAAAGGGAAAGTATAGCAGGAACTCATCCAGAGGCACCAAACAACCTCCTCAGGGCAAGTCATTTGGCTGTCTGGGTAACACCTGTGGATGAGACATGGGGGAACCAGAGGTCATTTCGGGGGGGATCGCAGTTACCCCGGGTGAGGTACGGGGGGCGGGGCACATGACGAAGCCCCGCCCCCTGCTTCTGGCCGCCCCGCTTCTGGCCCTCATTCAG